GTGGCACATGCCAGAAGTTCTGTACTTTTGAGCATGGAATATTCCATTGCGTATATTTGCCGTGTTTTGCTTATCAGTTCATCCACTGAGGGCCACTTGCGTTGCACCCATGTTTTATCTCTTGTGAATAATGCAGCTATGAACAGAGGTGTACATCTATTTCAGTAAAAGCCTGCTTTTAATTATTTTGTATACATATAATAGATATTGTATATAATTGCTGGATCAGATGGTGATTCAATTGTGAAATTTATTTTTGAGGAAATGCCATATTGTTTTCCATAGTAGCTACAACATTTTACATTTTCATCAGAGTACAAAGGTCTAGTTTGTCCATATTCTAATACTGAATGACCTTTTAATTGTAAATTCACATAATGAGGTTATATTTTAGAGTATTAATTCAATATTTGATATTAGTAATTCCTGGTGCCTGGCTATCCTGTGACCCCCTTTTGATGCTATTTGTAGTTTCTTCCATGGTAAAAATAGGCAGCTCTTCTAACTAACTGTGAAGTTGAGAGTCCCTAAGAAGAAAGGCAATGTGTAGAAGGGGAGTTCTTGTCAAACAAAGGGTCGAGGGAAACCTAGCCACTGCTGTTCCTTCTGGATGATGGACAGGCAATAAACAGTGGTCAGATGGAAGTAGAAAAATGCTTGTTCAAAGCCCCTCCCCACCATGGCTGGAGGTGTGGTGGAAATGAGGAGACCTACAAACAGTGAATGGGTTAATGATACACTTAGTTGGAAAGGGTATAAGCAATGGTGTACAGCTAACTGTTTACAATAAGCTCCTTCTGGAAAATAAAAGCCAGTCCCATATTCTTTTATCAATTGCCAATTTCCGTGGTGTAAACACTCCTACCATGGCTAAGCTAATTTCAAGCTACTGATGCAAACTAACCCCTATGGATTTGGGAAGGGATGTGCTCATGATTATCTAGTAGTCCCCCCATGCAGATGAAAGAGCCATAAATAATTCTAAGAACATAGAATAAGATGCAAAAAAACAATTAGCTGTTAGTATTCACTATCTTTTTCTAATATCATTAGTTTAATTGTAGTTTTCAATAATGGTCATGTGAAAACTTATCAGTCATCTTTATGAGAAGATGTGGCACATTCTGGCTCTTCCAGGAACAAAGCTTGGAAATTACGGTGTGCTGTCCTGAAGCCCACATGACCAGACGGGCCAGTCCCCTCCCAGAGGCCACCTGTCCAGGGAGAAGTCCAGGTGGCCAGTGTGCAGCAGTATCTGTTGAAGGCTTGGAGCATCCTACTTTTCACCTGTACCCTATCTCCCCTTTCCTTATGAGATCATGTAAGTTCTTTTTAAAAATCTCCATGTGACTGTATGTGTGTTTATGCATGTGGAAGTGCAGATATGAGCATGTCACAGTATGTATGTGTACGTAGGTCAGAGGGCAGTCTCGGGTGTCAGTTCTTGCTTCCCACCTTGTTTGAGACAGGATCTCTTTATTTGCCACTGTGTATGACAGGCTATCCAGCTGGGACCTTCTGGGGCTTCCAGAGAGCCTTCTATCTCCCTTCTCACAGTAGGACCACATACTACTGTATCCACTTTTATGTGGGTACTGGGAATTTGAACTCAGGACCTCATGCTTACATCGCAAGCACTGTACTTACAGAGCCATCTCTCTGGCTACTATTAATTATTATTATTATTATTATCATTATTATTATTATTTTTGAGATAGGGTCTTATGTAGCCCTGTCTGGTCTTCAACTTGCTATGTAGCCAAATATGATTGTGAATTCCCGATCTTCCTGCCTCTGTCTCCCAAGTGCTGGGATTATAGGTATATGTTACCATACCTGGCTCATTCTCAGGAGTCTTTCTAAGACATCGAAAAAATAAAAATTAAGCTACCATTAATGCTGTGGTAACTGGCTTGGGATTGTAGGAGGACAATGTCTTCTTACTCTTTTTTTCTTAAAAAAAAGGAGAACAAATTTTATTCTAAAAACAGAGCTCCATAACAAAGTTCAAAAGCTGGTTATTGTAATAGGAACAAAAAAGGTATCAGGAGTTTTTTTTTTTTTTTTCTGGCAATACAAAATTAAACTATAAAACGTGTTGCCAAATCTCATTTACCTACATTTGTTCTTAATTTAATTCTTAAAACAAACAGGAAAAATGAGTTGAAGTTCCATGTTAAACTCAGAATGGTGCTGAGGTGGAAGAGGGTTACAGTTTACAGCAGTTGGTACTAGGGATGGGGCACAGAGGAGGCGGCTAAGAGCAGGGTCCTGATATGGCCCCTTGCTTTTGTTAGGAGAAAATGTTGAGATGATGATGTCACCATGGTGGTGGTAGGGGACTCCTCCCGAGAATCCACTGGAATGGAACTTCCCAGGAGAAAGTAAGTTTCAAAAGGTTGGATAGCACTGACTTTCTTTAAATTTTATTAGTCGATGAGCTGTGATTTTTTAAAACATTTTATTCTGAAAATGAATTTTTCACAATAATGCAAATAAGTAGTTTCAAAATGAGCTCATTTAACCGTCTTTTCTACAAAGGATAATTGAAACACTTAAGGCAAGATTTACTTGTTCATCACTCTTAGAATGGACGTGAGTGGCAGGCTTCAGGTACTGCTAAGGGTAATGTAACGAGGGAAGGTTCCTATTTCTCTTCTTTTCTTTCTCTCAGTAGTTTTCTCCATAAAAGTTTACATTACTATGGATATTTCCTAGCAAGACACTTTTGTTGCTCGTGTTTCTTTGTAAATTCATTTTTAAATTTAAAGGCACACAATAAAGCTTTATGCATTTATTAAAATATACACATTTTGGTAAATTTATAATTTCCCTTAGTATTTTGATAAATCAAAATATTGTCAACACTACAGTCATTTGAAAATAAAATGCACTCCATAACACATCTGCACATTATTTCTTCCTTCAGGGTACATTACAATGCCCATTGTACAGTGCACCAATGGGAATTAAAAACCACAAAACGAACACACGGGAACAAATACAGCAGTTTCATACAGAAAAAGAAAGAAGCAGAGAACAACACCAGAAATCACCATCTGCAAGATGCAAGTTGTACTTCTCAAGGACCAAACGAAACCAGAACAAGTCAGTAAAATTTACAAGCGGTATTTATAACTTTGGGATGTGAATTTAACAGTAATGCTTCTTTTCCACAGTGAGGAAACTAGAATGTCGGGTGCTGTTGGTGTGACTACGCAGAATGAGGATGTTAGCTGCTATCTTTAAAGCTTCAGCCCCTTTTCTCAGCCCAGACAGTTGAGGTATTTAGGTGCTTTCATAGCATTAACAGTGTCTTTCCTTTGGAAAGTGTGGGGCTTCATGATTTCCAATGTAAATTCTCAACTTCAGGACTGTGGATGAGGAAAACGTATTCGTAATTGCCAACGACACTCAGTGGTGCCCACGGGCCAGTTTCCTCGTCTCAACATCAGAATAAACACAGCCCTTTGGAATCTCTACTTCTGGTGAAATTCACATGACCCACAATTTCCTTTAGCCAGTGTCAACAGTGCTAATGTCCAGAAAGCTTAATAGAAACAGAAAAAGAGCACAGAGGAGTCCCTGACAGAAAAATCTAGGCTGCCCCTTCTTTCCTACTTCTAACAGAAAGCCGTTTTTCTTCCTTATGTGAATCAACATGCACTAAATATTCTTAAAGTGTAAGCGATTGGAGCCACTCGTGGTGAAGAGACTTCAGCTCAAAGTGACTCAGTGGAAGTCTCATTTGGGCTGTATAATTCCATGCATGTAGTGTACTAACGAATGATCTCAGCACTATTCTAGTTGATAAAGGGCAGAATATATGTGCATTTCTAATGGGCTTTAAATGTCAGATAATCCCCTTGGGTCTTTAAGTCCTAAAAAAAAAAAAAAAAGAAAAAAAAATTATGTGTATGTACGTGGGTCTGTGTTTGGGCATGTGAACATGAGTGTGGTACCTATGGAGGCCAGAAGAGGGCATCACATCCCCTGGAGCTGGAGTTACAGGTAGTTGAGAGCTGCCCCACATGGATGTGAAGAACCAAACTTGGGCTGTCTGGAAGGACACTTAACCGCTAAGCCATCTCCCCAGCCCCACATTCTGTACTTCTTAGAGAAATAATTTTGGCAAAAAGCCACTTCCTAAGTGTCTCAGAGACTTGAGAGTTGCTGAGGCAGAGCAGGAGGGGCAAGAGGAGGAGAACATTTTAGGGAGGAAGTTGCTCTTGAGGGTGGGGGCCAGAAAACAAAAACAAAGGCAAATGTAAATGAACTGGCCTTTCCTCTGAAGCCTTAGAGAAAGTTAAAGCAGGACATGGAATTAACAGTTATGTGCAGGAAAAGGGCTTTTTGTTGCTTTCACCTTGCCAACTGAAAATGATGCATCATCTCCAGCGGACAACCACCTTGGTCCTGCTTGTGTTGGAGACTGTGGCTTGGGATGTTGTTTCTATGCCTGCAATGCTTAACTGCAACTATGGAGTCTTCATGGTCAGGCCACCTGCTGAGGCCTCTGTCTTAGGGTCTCCAAAGGGTCTCTGTAGGTAAATGGGTCAGCAGCATCAGAGAGATACTGGGGAACAGGACTGACAGAAGCTTGGGAGCTTTCTCCACACCTATGGCTTCACAAACAATTATGCTCTTAACACCAGGCAGGGAGGCAGCCACTCAGAAAGCAGGCTTTGCAACCACTGTAAACAGCAAAGTTAAGTGTCTGCCTAGCATAGCCATTTTTAATAGGGTTTCCAGCAGGGCTCCTATTGTCCTTTGAAATGAAGTAGGAGATACAGCCTTATGAAAATGAATTGCAGATCTGCTCAGCATTCATTCCTGCCTTTTCTGAAAAGAGCTGTTTCTCCTGTTCCAAGTATGTGGTTTTAGTGGGGGCTTCCATTTCTCATACTATTTGGCAGGTTGGAACCGGATTTTTTCAACAATGACTTAAAATGTCGGTTCAAACCAGCTGGTATCATCAAAGGATCAAACGCGTGTCTTAGTTTTTTTTTTTTTTTTTCAGCAGAATAAAGATATTTCTCTGGAGGAGGAGGGTCTGTTAAATTGAACAACCTTGTCCCCCATGTATTTTAAAGACGTGTATCATGACCAGGATAGAGGCCCTTGGCTAGCTGTTAGCTTACTAAAAAGCAGATCTGGATTCTTTGCCCAATTCCAACATTCAGCTTTTTCCCCAGTTTTAAAGTAGTCTAGCATTCAACTTGAGTCAATCTGGCAGCTGAGGTTTTACTATTTAGGTTGGATAGATGGGAAATGTTAGATTTGGTTGTTGAAGTTAATTACTGAAAAACTGAAAGTGACTGAAAAGAACTTTGTGTTGTGTGTCTGCATGTCAGAAGATCGCATTCTTTCCCCCACAGTAATAATGAAATAGGATGAAGAAAGGAAGAATCATGCGTTGTGGTAACTGTGGATTTTTTCCCCTTACTATGCTAAATGAACTTGGAGTGAGTATGTGACCTGTTTGCTCCTTGTCCAGGCAATGATGCCACTGCTCAGCTTTTCACAAGTCCAACCTTCCTTGACTCAAGCTTTCATCACCTCCATAATCACTCCCCAACCCAGGAGAACCAGCTGGCTTCATACTGGAGTCCATCTGTGACTGAGCCCTCCCCTGTTTTCCTGACATTATTTCTTATTGTTCCACATGTAAATTATGCATACATTATAAGCTCCGGTCAAACTAGCTCCTTGCTTTCCCTGAAGGAAGGCACAGAGGAAAATATCCAGAAGACAGCTCTCAGTCACAGTCTGCACTTTACACAGCCTCTACTTGGCAAGCCAAGTTTCTACCTTGTATGATTCTGCTACTTCCACAGGCCCCATGTGTGTGCCACATTCTTTGAGCTTTCCAACATGTAGAAGTCTTTTCTCTATTTAAATCCCTACAGCACATTAGCACTCTCATCTCCCCTGTCATTGATATTGTTCTTTGTATATCTTATTTCTTTTAAAAATGCTCATTATTATTATGTGTGTATGTGTGTGTGGGGGGGAGTATGTATGTATGTGTGTGTGTGTGGGGGTACCACAGCACATGTACAGAGGTCAGAGGACATCTTTGTGGAGTTGTTTTTCTCCTTCCACCTTTATGTGGGTTCTGGGATGGAATTCAGGTTGCCCAGCTTTTGCCTGCTGAGCCATTTCACCAACCCTACGTATTATTTCTTAAGAGCGGAATCTTTCACTTATTATGGTATCAGAATATACTGCAGTGTATAATAGACACTCTAAAATAATTGCTAAACAGATACTTTATTTTCCTCCAGTTCGTTCATTTACTCACTCGTTCATTCACTCATCCAATCATCAGGTATTTATTGGTACCCACTATCCATCAGGTGCTGTAGCTAGTATAATCTAGGTTTGACGCTCTCCGTCAACTTCAGTGGCCTGTGCTATTTTAACTATCTGTCTTCACGGGGAAAGGCTTATTTTTATTCATGTAGCAATACTTGCTGACATACTGCTGAATCTATTACTTTTTAAAGGTGCCCCTCATTGAAAAATGTAGGGCTCTGCATTTGTGCATGTGCATGAAACATACTTCTGGTTCTGTTATTCTTTCTACATCTGTTTTTTTTTTTCTTTTTCTTTTTGTTCACTGTTTTTTGACAGAGTCTCCCTAGTCACAGTCTGCCTGGAAGTCACAACGTGAACCAGAGTGGCCTCGGTCTCACAGAGATCCACCTGCCTCTGCCTCCCGAGGACTGGGATTAAAAGTGTGTGCCATCACGCCCAGCGTTCTACTTCAGTTTTGATCGTGTTCTTCACATAAGTTTTGTTTTGGAGCACATGTGTTTAATGGCTGCCTCAAATGTTCTGAAATGGTGCAGAATATCAATAAATAAATAGAATATAAAATCGAGTAATTGACTCCAAATCACAAAGGGACACATAGAATTCTCACAGGAAGAGCACGCCTAAGACAATTATTTATAAGGTGATCTGACTTTTAATGCAGTCCCGCAAATACGGTGTTCGGATATCTGTTAGGAAAACCCTAATGTTATCATTCTAGTGATTGATAGTATTTTTAAACTGTCTTGTGAAACCTGGGACTGTATCACAGGATCTGGGAAACATGAAGAAAACCTTAGAAACTTTCCTAACCATATTGATACTTTTTGAAGCAAGATTGCTAAGAAGATGACCTGTTAACTTTAGAACAATGAAGGAAGCAAAGCTTAATAATAACTGAATCTACTAATTAGGGAAAATGGCTCCATTCAATAGAAGACATGACAATGGTCCCTAGGGTCTTCACACCATCAACACCAATGGTGTTAACTAAAGCCTGGGCTCTTCTTACGCTACAGAGATTGTTCACACCTGCTGCCAGACTGTCGCAATTTTAACACGTGAACCTCATTAGTAAAAGGAAACTTTTCACCCATGTTAGACTTTGCCATTTTGCAACCACATTTCTCCTAAACATATTAAATGAAGACAACATCACTCTTCTCTCTAGATGTGAATTCAGCTTAACAGGGTATTTAAACTAGGCAGATTCTTAAACTAGTTTAAAACATTGTTTTCACAAACATGACTCATCATTATCTTACAGTGAATCCTCAAGGTTATTTGTCACAGACCAGGCACTGCATCTTGATTGTTAAGATCAGGCAAGAGGAAACACAGCTTTGTCAGTCATTATGTTGAAATGAACCCAGGAAGCCAGGGTTCCACAAAATTAATATGGAGCAGTAAAAGCGTTTTAAAAAGTTGTAGTTATTGGAATACAATGGTACATATTAGCTATGGGCATGATAACAATTTATCTAAAAGCATTATCTTTTGAAAAATTTAGTTTCAATTGATGTTTATCTGCTATGTTGAAGCCTTATGTGTCAGTCATGGGGACTGGTCAAGTTTGTTTTATCTACATCAGGCTCCTCCCTGAATCCTGAGCTCCAAGGGCAGAAGTTACAAGTCTCCTCATGCCCATCCCTCGGCCATTGGTGTATTTCAGACAGTTCAATGGAAAACAGGCTTTTACCTCTTCTCTGCAGCTCCAGTGCATGTCAACAAAGCCTGAGTCTTAGACTTCAAGAAAGAAAATATTTAAATGTTAGTCAACATTCAGGAAAACTTTTGGCAGGATGATAAATTTACTCTTTTGCTTCCCTTTCAGAAAATTCTCACCACAATCTTAGCGTGAGAAACATCATCTTCACATACAAGAGACACCGAAGGAGAATTTGCAGCTCATGTATTTTTTTTTTTCTGTTGCATTTCACTTTTCCTGTTTCAGAACATTCTTTTAGGAACCCATTTGACGGCTTGCACTTAAACCTCACCAGGTAGCTATTTCTCTGGGCCTTTGGGAAACAACAGGAAAAGTATTGTGAAAGTGAGCTAGCCGAGAAGAGCAGGGTTCAGAGGGGGAAAAGTGATCTCAAGGAATGTGATGACCTGAGTGGCTGGGCTGCCACATCTCTTGCTTTTCAGGGCATCATTATGCAATCAAGTTGTTGCTTATCTTAAAAAAGCCTACCGAATTTATCATTTTAGAAATATGAAGCAGGATTTGCAATGTGATCTCAGTGACTGGGTTACTTCTCTTTGCAAATATTTTTATCTGATTATAAAACAAATAGCCTACTTCTTCTAGGAATATCAGCGCCATGAAGTCACACTCCACCTCTGACCCCTTTTACCATATCAGCAGGAGCTTAGAGTCTGGCATAAGGGAAGGCATGACAGACAGCTCAATTCTGCCAACGTCCTTCTGGCCTCTATGAAAGAGATCGTTATTTAAGGTGTCTTTTTTTTGGAGGGGGGCATTTAAGTAAAGCTTTGATGCTATTTCTTTTATGTTGAAATGAACCCAGGAAGCCAGGGTTCCACAAAATTAATATGGAACAGTAAAAGGGTTTTTAAAAAGTTGTACTTATTGCAATACAATGGTACATATTAGCTATGGGCATGATAATTTATCTAAAAGCATTATCTTTTGAAAAATGTAGTTTCAATTGATGTTTATCTGCTGTGTTGAAGCCTTGTGTGTCAGTCATGGGGACTGGTAATACACACTATTGGGTCTGTACGATTGCTTTATAGGGGAAATAGTCCTTGATCTGATCTTTCCTGGATTATAAAATTAGAGTTGGAAACTTTTAAGAACTTTGGTGAGTGATAAGAAGCCCATGTCTCCTCCATGCTTGATTTCTGGTGAGGTGAGATTTCAGGACACAGGTGGGCATTTCTGTTTGAGGAAGTCCTGACAGGAACCGTTTCATCCCCGCCCCCACCACCTAGGGGAGCTGCTCCCAGGTCTGCTGAGAACAGAGCCTTGCCTTTGAGGCCTCCGGTGGTTGGAAGGCTGCTCTGGTTTGAATCTGCGGCCACCTACTTCAGTGTTTCTCTGGGGGGGCTGCATCCTCTGTGCGGTTGGCAAAGCTTGCCTTTTGTTTCCTGGGGTCTTGGTAAGAAGCAAAAAAGATGGACCCAGCAAAGGCTAGAAAACATTCGCTACCATTAGCTCTCATGGTTCACTAACAGAATTTTGTAGCCTTTTGATTGTTTTTTTTACTTTTACTTTTATTTTGACAAGGGGGCCAGTTAAGGGCACTGGGCAAAACCGTTCAACAGAACTATCCTGAACAGCAAAAATAGCAAGTGATAGGTTATGCTTGGGGACTGACTTTGGGGAAGGCTGGATTTGTGAAATGAGAGTCAAAAGACGTTTTCCCCTTCTAGCCCACAGGTTGGATTAGTGAAACATCAATCATCCTTTCTACTGGCCTGTGCGTTTGCTCTTACTCTGGAGAGTAATCTAACTCTTCGTTCGCAATCAGAGCCTCTGAGTGCTGTTTGTGTTTGCTTTTGCTCTTCGCTTTGCCACTGGTCCGGCTATTTGCCTTCGCATCTGACATCTGTTGGTAATAGAACCCTTTGTCCTCAGCCGGCCCACCCCAGTCCTCCTGGCTTTCCCCCTCCGTGGCGTAGGAGAACCCCTCCTCCACTGAGAAGGGGTCATCCACGTCGTACCGCTGGTATGTGCTCTGGTGGAGGGCCTCTTCTCGAGCGCTGATCTCCAGGGTGCTGTTCCAGATGCCGTACCCAAAATAAATGAGCATACCTGTTGGAGGGGAAGGCACAGGTGAATAAGAGGCTCCTTTAGCATCCCCAGGACCAGAGGGGAAAGCACTCGCCACAGTAAAATCAGGGCTGCAGGCGATGGGCATCCTTAGATTGTGGGGTTTTGAAAAGACTTGAACGAAAAATCCCTTTAAAAATTGGGAGGTCTGGTCCGGGGAGATAGCTCAGTGAGTAAAGTTCTTGCTATGCCAAGCTTGGAGAGAGCCCCAGAATCCACATAAAAAAGCCTGTGGTAGTGGGCCTCCTGTGTAATCCCAGCACTAGGAAGGCAGAATCAGGCAGATTTCTGGAGCTTATTGGCCAGCAGCCTAGATGAACTGGAGAGCTCCTGGTCTCAGTGCAAGACTCTTGTCTCAAAAAAATCTGGTGGGGCTGGGTGTGGTGGTCCAGGCCTTTAATCCCAGCACTTGGGAGGCAGAGTTCAAGTCCAGCCTGGTCTACATAGTGAGCTCCAGGACAGCTGGGGCTATAGGGAGACCCTATCTCAGAAAGACCGAAAAAAAAAAAATCTGGTTGGAGGGAGGGTGCCCGAGAGATGGCTCAGCCATTAAGAGTACTGGCTACCTTTGCAGAGGACTCAGGTTCTGTTCCCAGCACCTACATGGTGGCTAACAATCATCTGTAACACCAGTTCCAGGGGATCCAACTTCCTCTCTTGGCCTCTGAGGACACTGCATGACACAGATGCACTTACATACATTCAGGCAAAACATACACATAAAAAAATAAGGTGGATGGCTTTTGAGGAGACACCTGAGGTTGACTTCTGGCTTCCACATGCATGGGCGTTCATGTGTATATGCATATGCATACACACATGGACCTACACATATGTGAACAGCCTAGCACGCACACACACACACACACACAATTGGGAGGTCACATAGCTGTGTGATGGAATGTTTCTGTAATCCTAGCACTCAGGAAGATAAGGGAGTTCCAGGCCAGCTAGGGCTACATAGTAAGACCCTATCTCTGAAAACAAAAACAAGACAATAACAAAACCAGAAAACATTAGGGAGATGTGCATGAAGCAGCTCGTATTTACAGCTTCTGTTGACAGTCTGAGGCTAGCCCTCACATCCCTAGTAACAATTTTGGCTGGCGGTGAGCACTGCCTGGGTTTTTACACAGGATTGGCCCTCTCAGGCACTCAGTCCCCATTGTCCCAGCTGGCATTCAGTCATTACTCTCACGGAGCTCACAGCCAGGAATTTGCATCTTCTGCCCTGGGTTAATATTTCCAGATCAGCGAGTGTTCAGTCCCAGCCTTCTTAGTACATTTTATTATCCCTTGACTCCATGCAGTCCCCAGCTCTCCTTTCAGCTCTTAGCAACACATACATATTAGCCTATGATTTATCTTGCCATTTCACACTCATGTCATAATCCACTCCTGTTCCTCTAAGCTGCCCTCTTTCAGGGTGGGCTCTCAGGGTGTCTAATAGTACACGCAACTGTTATGGCCCTTACAGCACCTGTCCTGTGATTATCTGTACAGTCTTGGTAGGAAACTGGCTCTTAATGTTTGTTGAATGAATGAACGAGAGTCCCTGATAAGCACCAGAAGTCCAGCAAACTGTCTCTGTGTTGACATCATTCTAATCAGAGGGAAATCACCTTTCTGATGATGTACAACATTTATATGGCTAATGTTTCTTTTTCATTTTTTTGAATAGTATATGACAGTGATTTGTGAGCCTCTTTTCTTTTTGAAAAGTTCATGAAATTCAGGGTCTGGTAAGTCAAGAACTATAGTGTCATCTGTCATAGGGCACAATATAGAGCAGTTGGTGCACAAGCACAAGGACCTGATTTGTATCTCAACACTCATATAAAAATGGGTGTGGCCATGCACATTCCTATAACCCCAGTGCTGGGGATGGGGTGCGGTGGGGGTGGAGACAGGAGAATCACTGGGGTTTTCTGCCCACCAGCGTAGCTCAGGTTCAATCAGAGACCCTGTCTCAGATGAAAAAGGCAGAGAGCGATAGATCAGAATACCAGATGTCCTCCCCTGCCTCCTGTATGCATTTGCAGAGGCATGGGCACACACACACACACACACACACACACACACAGACAGACAGACAGACAGACACACACACACACACACAGACACACACACACACACACAACACACAAAAGAAACCCAAACAAATAAAACACCACTCAATGTCAGAGCAACAGTTAACATGAGGTAACTTGGGATGAAATAAGTGGTGAGTCTCAACTCTCTCTACACTTTGGAGTCAAGTGGGGTGTTTTTAAACTCACCTGAGGAAATTCTGATTTGATTGGTTTTCTAGGCTCCCCAGGCACAGGTGTATTGTAGGTTATTACAACGGTCAGACAGTGCAGAGAATCCTCAATTCACTGCTCTCTCAGGCCATGCCCTGGTCTGGTCACTAGGGTCCAACAAATCTCGGTGGCATCAGCCCTTTTGGCTTCACTGACCCCAGGCCAGCTGCTGGACTGTTTGCTCAGAGTGGCAAGCCTAGCCTGTCTTCCTGCTCTGGCCCTTGAGATTTTTTTTTTCCTTTTGAATTTGTTTTTTTTTTTTTTTTTTTTTTTTTTTTTCGGTCTTTTTGAGGCAGGGTCTCCCTGTAGCCCCAGCTGATCTGGAACTCACTATGTAGACCAGGCTGGCCTTGAACTCACAGAGATCTGCCTGCCTCTGCCTCCCTAGTGCTGGGATTAAAGGCGTACGCCACCACGCCCGGCGAATCTGGTATCTTTTTAAGCTTGAATTTCTCCCTCCTTGTGTTAAATGACTTTCTTTTCCCGAGATTCTCCCCCTCCTGACAACTTCCCCCTACCCCCCAGTGAAATCAACTTTCCAGGAGCCAAAGTAAGCAGAGATTTATAGTCCTAATTGGTAATAAACCCTGGAGTTAATCATTTGCAGATGTAGCTGTTTGACCTCGCATAGCGACTTGATCTTTTTGAGCATGGGTCATTGCTCTTTAGTGTCTGGGGGTGGAGGTGACTATGAGGGACAGTTATTATCCCTGTGTGGAACCAGACCTCCACTCATGCCTCTTCTAAAAGGGCTAGCATGCTCGTTCTTGAAGAATGCCTCTGAAGGAATTTCAAGTGACCAGGTGGGACCAGCAGCTCACCTTAATTTTTCTTGTTTTTTCTCTCAGACATCCAGGAAGGTGCCAAATCTTACCTCTTACTTCCACTTGGTGTCTCTTATATCAGTTCTTTTCTTTCAGATCCCTTCTCTGACTCTATTTAGATGTAGGCCATACCCCACTGGACTTTTTTTTTCAGTCCCCCTTACCCTTGGCGTCACTCCTCTGCCTCTACACAGGTCACTGCCACTACAATTTGGCTGGGTTGACATTTATTCTAACATACCTTCCTCTCTCCCCACCAGATATGTTGGGTGTTGGGTAGATTTATGTTACAGCAATTGTTCTAACATCATAGATAATTGCGTTGGACAGGACTCTACAGATCACCAAGGTATCTATTGACTTCATTTTACAGAAGCAGAGGTTGGGGAACATTAGTTGTCTTGCCTGGGTCTGGGAGGGGTAGAACCAGCTTTCCATGTGGATCAAGGCTCTTGCACATCCAGTTCTTCACACTTCCCTTCCCAAGCTGGTTTACACACTACACTCATTGCAGCAAATATTCAGCAAAAGTTTTGGTCTACATGTATTCTTTGGAGTGGCAGGCTTGGAAGAGGCACGTTTGTGCATATGTGCATGTGTGTGTATGTACATTGATTGTGATTACAATGCATGCCTGCCACAGACATGTAGATGGGTCTTTTCAGTGTTTTCTCTGTCCCTCTACAGGGCCAAAGACATGCCACTCTGTCTCCAATATATAGTTCAAAGATGAGTGCTCTGCCTGTTGCAGTGTATTCAGGGAGTCTGTTTGGGAAGAGTCATTCTCTTGGGCCAAACATTCTGTCTGCCTCTATCTTTTTTTGCTGGCCCCTGAGCCAATTCAGGAAGAGTGGTGTGAGGCAGAGAAGAATGGGAGAAGAGAAAAAATGGAGAGGGACAAAGCAACCGAGGGAACAAATGAAGAGGGCACGGGAAGGCGGGGGTGGGGAGCGTGTTTGACCATCTGTCACTTAAACAAGGGCTTTGTGTGGAGGAGTAAACAGCACGGCTGAAGGCCTGCTGTGTGGAAGCTGGGCTTTTTGTTTCTGCTCTTCTTTTGGCTTGGAGAATGGTGCATAAGGTGGTTTCTGAACACTCTGGGGGGATTCTGGGAATCCTGAGTCATCTAAACCACACTTCATACAGCACTGTGTGCTGGCGTCCCCTGAACACCGTACAGTTATGTTGCACCTCTCTCTGCAGGAGCTGGAGATGCTGTACAAGTGCTGGTGTGTTTAGATTCCTGAAGAGAGTGTGTGTGGGTATGGGGGGAGATAAAGATATACAGAGATAAACAAAGGGACAGAGAGATAGAGACAGAGATAGAGATAGAGGGGGAGAGAGACAGAGACATATAGAGATGGAGGGAGGGAGCATGAATCTGTGCATCTCATGGACAGGGAACAGAAAAATTAAGGGATTGGGGCTGGGGAGATGGTTAAGTTGGTAAAGGACCTGCTGAAGGCCTAAAATCAGATCCTTAGAACTCATGTAAAAAGCCAGTGTGGTAGTGCACGCCTGTACATCCAGTGCTAGGGAGGTGGGGATAGGAAAATCCCTGGGGCTTGCTGGCCAACCAGTCCAACCAAACTGTTAAGCTCTAAGTTCAGTGAGCTCAGAATAAATAAATGAAATGAGGCAGAGAACAATTCAGGAAGATGTCAGCCTCTGGTCTCCACCTGCACCCCTCACGTCCACACACACATATGTGAACATATATGCATTAATATGGGACTGTCGACAGCAACATGGGTAACAAGCAGACACGAATTCTTAAAGATTGCTCCGTGCCCAGCTCCAGGGTTTTCAACTTCTCTCCCCGCTCCCATTTGTCAGGGGAGGCTCTGAAGTGCAT